TTTCGAAATTTTTCAATTTCTACACATTTGCTATGGCATTTGTTTGTTTCATTAGGGTGGATTTTTCCTCATTGAATCTCTAACTAAAGCTTGATTTTGACATGATTGTTTTCTTACCAACTACTATTTGGATTGGTGCATAGATTCAGTTCACAAATTATGAATTTGCAAGATAGAATGAGTTGAGTTGTATTGAAGTATGTTCCTTTCATTATTTGTCTATGTTGTTATTCGGTAAAAAAACACCATTTTTTCCTTCAGGAGATATGCAACTCTCTATAAAATATAAATTGTGTTTATATGCAGTTTAGTTTGCTGAAAATATTGTTTTAATAAATTAGCGACAACTGATAGCTCTGTTTGTGGTTGGTTTTACTAGAACATTGCCAAGTTAAATTAATTGAGTATGCCGAAGATTGATGGATGTGGATGCTAATTTGTCTCATCATTATTCCAGAATTGTAGGTGTAACTAATAATACACGATATTCGTGAGATCTAGATCGGAATATTCTTTATTATCATATACCGACATATGAGAAGGGAAAGAAAATAAAAGCTCTTCGCTTTATTCTTTTTATTAATGGAAGCATATTTTCTTATTCTGATTTATTTGTTTGTGGCCTTAATTTTTTTTTAACTTCTTTATCACTTTTTTGAGTTCAATACAAAATTCTAAATCAATAAAGAACGGTCTACAAAGAGCTCAGTTAATACAATTAAACTTTTCATAAATAAAAAATGTATAAAAGTACGAAACATTACCTAAAACAAGGTAAGTGAGATTTACAATACCATGTATATTAGATCAACAAACATAAATAATAATAATTAGAATACTGTAACAAATTATAAAATAACCAAATATAATGCACTGCCCAACGAGATTGGTAAAAAACTAGTACTACTATGTTTGTGTTCTTTAACCAATCACATATGGCTATCCTGTTGGTACTGCAATATAGCTCCTTTTATTTCTTACTTTCTCCACAGCTACATGGCCATCACTGACATCATTGCCTTAATCCAGCAAAGAACGCGGTTCATTAGGAGGATGGTTTTAAGTTTGATATACACACGCGCTGTAGCATGTATGTCAAATGTCTGCGAATACCACAATTACAAAACTAACCTATGTCAGATGCTTGAGAATAGTAGTTTGACTAGTTTTTTACCAGCTCGTTGGGCGGTGTATTTTGTTTGGTTATTTTATAATTCGTTATAATATTCTAATTGTTATTATTATTTATATTTGTTAAGGTAATATATATGGAATTGTAAATCCCACTTACCTTATTTCAGGTATTGTTTCATACTTTTATACCTTTTGTTTATTTATGAACATTTTAATTTTATTAACTGAGCTCTTTGTATATTGTTCTTTATTGATTTAGATTTTTTTTATCGAACTCTCCCTTTAAGATTATAAACATAAGAGTTATTCATTCTTTAGCACACAATTGTGATAAAGAAGTTAAAAAATTTACAACCACAAAAGAAGAAGTTAGAATAAGAAAATATGCTTCAATTAATAAAAAAAATAGCGAAGAGCTTTTTATTTTCTCTCCCTTCTCATATGTCGGTATACGATAATAGAGAATATTCCGATCTAAATCTCATGAATATCGTGTATTATCACTTACACATACAACTTTGGAATAATGAGGAAACTTATCAGCATCCACGTCCATCAATCTTCCACGTATTCGTTTAATTACCTTGAAATGTTCTAGAAAACCAACCACAAACAACACTATCAGCTATCACAAACTTATTAAAGCAATATTTTCATCAAATTAAATTGCATATACTTAAATACAATTTATATTTTGTAGAGAGCTACATATCTCCAGCAGACAAGAATTGTGATTTTTACCTAATAACAACATATAAAAATAATGAAAGGAGCAGTTTTCAATACAACTCAACTCATTTTATCATGCAGATTCCTCATTTGTGAACCGAATATATGCATCAATCCAAATAGTAGTTTGTAGGAAAACAATCATGTCAAAATCAAACTTTAGTAAGGATTCAATGCGGAAAAATTCACCTTAATGAAACAAACAAATGTCGCCGCAAACATGTAGAAATTAAAAAAAATTGAAATAGACAACCGAGAAACCACCATTATCATTTTCTTTCTTCATCACGACCTTTATAAAACCCCAATTATGTTCCCTTCTACTTATAACCTCTTTGCTACCTACTATTACTAAACATATCATCATTGTATTGCTAGCTAGTAGCATGTCAATCATGAACATAAAATATAATAAACAATCATCACAACTCTTCTTTCTATTTCAACATTCAAGAAATTGGGTTGCAATAGACATTCAAGAAAAACGATAAATTATTCAATCAAATGAGGTATGCCCTAAGTCCAACCAATGAACCCTTCTAATTATATTTTATATATTTAAATAAAAGTATATGACGACCCTTCTCATTGGAAAACAAAGAAGAAATACATTCCCTCATCGAGAGTGGAAAAATTTACCATTCAGCAGTTATAATTTGGAAGAAATTAAGAAAAGAATGGGAAGAAGAGTATAACTCGGCCAGTCAACCGCAAACAATAATATATTGCTGAGAAAGTGAGACCAGTTGCCAGCTTCAGATCAAGGAGGAAGAATGAGCAGTCAACAACCCTCGGCTTGGTTCACCTCATCTTCACAATGATCAGATTAACTTTTTTCGTCAACAGGCAAAAATATGTTACAACTGCTCAGAATTTTGTCATCTAATCGTTGCCTTGTGTAACTCCTACCTCCTATTCTCATACAAAGAAAAAAATCCATATGCATTACCATTTCCTTCTCTATAAATTATGAGAATACAAATATTATAAATCTAAAAAAAATTAGCAACTAATAAGAGGGTTTTGTTTATTTTTATGGTGGTTGACATACTTTCTTGATTTCTTATTTTCAAAGTTGGATTTTATTTCTAGTGGGACAATCAAAATGGGAAAAGGGACAAAACAAATTAAAAGTTTGCATTAATAATTAATATGTTTTTATTTAATCGGAATAAATAAGAAGTTTTTTAAAAAATAACAATTACTCTGTCAAGTTTATATTCAAACATTTTGCTATAAAATTTATACGTGTTTTATTTGATAGGTATATGCATTAGAAAGAACTGAGTGTTTGATAGCAAAAAAACATATAGTCATATCGATCATTTCTCAAAGTCGATTGATTATCAAACGCTTATTTTCTCTTAGACCATCGTTTATATTTTTTTTAATTGAAAATATTATTATTTATGTGTGTGTGTGTTTTTTTTTTCTGCTTCATCAAAATGTAACTTATTATTAAATTTTAGTAAAAATGAGTAGAAAATTTACTTAATGAGATTTAATCAGCTTGGGTTAAACAAATACGATATATCACTCTCTGTTTCCATCTTTATAGTTTGTTTAATTGAAAAAAAAAAAGATGATTACTTATGTATGTGTTTGTTTGTTTAAATGTTTCCTAAAAAATTAACTTATTTTAATTTTAGTAAAAATGAGTAGAATTATTGAAAGAAGAGAGAGATAGCTTCATAAATAGATCAATAAATAGTTTTTGTTTGTAAAAAAATTGTCCACCTTGGCAACTTGTGCATTTACCAAGTGCTTATGTGGCAAAAAGTTATTTTTGAATAGCCATAATATTTAGTATAGATATAGATAGATAGATAGATCGATCTAGATAGATAGATTACACATATTAATCTATAATAAATCCTCACATCTTCATGATAACGTTCCCTAACCTGTGCCTTTTACCATTGTCATTGTCATTGTTTTCTTTTCTTTTCTTTTATCTGCCAGGTCATGCTCAATATGAGAATTCTGACCTGTCAATAACAGATAATTTCCTTTTCAATTGATTCATTAATCTGTGACCATCGACAGCATCTTACATCCATTAGTTGAAATATTTGTTTGCCTTGCCATTGAAGTATAGATGATGGACCTGAATGAGTTTTACTTGGTTGTCTGTTTTAATTTAATATTTGCTTTCTGAAGCTAATAACCATCTTACTCATTGCAAGTATAGTTTTGGTGTTCGTACTGCATTAATTGTTTAACAAGTTGCTTTTCTTACTTGCTAATCTGATTGCAAGTCTTTGTGTTCTTAGGATCTGATTTATTGTTAATTGCAGCTTTCAGCGTTACCATTATAACAACCAGAAGCTCTGTAATGAGGAAAGTTTGCAGATTATCCAGCAAGGTGAAAGGAAGGTAATTAGCTGTATTTTCTTTATTTGTTATGGTTAAATCTATCTCTCTCTTCCATATCTCTTGAATTTAAAAAAACTGGATTATTTTAGAGTGGTTTTTTTTGCTCCGAGTTTTGCGGAACCAAAAGTAAGCGTTGTCATCGAACAAACCTAGGGTTTCCGATGGAGGCTCAGCCGCTGTCAGCGGCGCCGGGAGTGACTGACAAACCCCCTGACACAGCAAGTGGGGTCCGACGTCCAGCAGAGGTCTCATCCTCCCCGGACGGGAAGAGCGAGGCAGAATCGGTGCATGCAAAGAAAAAAGTCTGGCTACTAAAACAGAAATAAGAAAACGTGAACCTGGAAAGATGCTGTCGTGGAGATGGAAACAGACAAACATATAACCGCTAACCCTCCTTCGAGGGGAGGAGGTAAAGGGAAGCTCTTCAGTGACATGGTGAAAAAAGATAACTGGTATATCGCCGATTCGGATTCTGAGGATGTCGCCTTGGTTGAGAGAGAAGAAGATGGTGTTCTTGATGAGAAAGACTATGATCCAAAGTGCCCGCCAATTCTCTTTACGGCTGCCGAGAAAATTAAATGGCGTCGTGAGTGGCGTTCAGCCTTGGTTGTGAAAGGACTAGGTCGAAAGGTCTCTTTCCTCCCCCTCTCTCGGAGTTTGAATTACCTCTGGGTTCGGAATGGTGAGCTGCAGATTTCAGATATGAAGATGGGTGCTTCTTGGTAGGTTTTAGAAGTCAGAAGGATTATGATGCCGCGATCATGGGTGGCCCTTGGCTTCTTGGTGAGACATATCTTACAGTCCATATATGGTGTAAGGGTTTTAACCCGTGGAAAGCAGAAGTATCTTCAACGATGATATGGGTGCAACTCCCTGAACTGCCAATAGAATTTATTAACAAGGAGGCAGTGGTACGGATTGCGAAAGCGATAGGGAACCCCATCCGTGTTGACCGTGCAACCGAGTTGGGTGCGAGAGGAAAGTTTGCGAGAGTATGTGTGGAGGTGGATTTGACCCAGCCATTGCTTTTTCACAATACAAAATCGAGGGATTCACTTACTTGATCCAATATGAGGGTCTTGATAACATTTGCACAAACTGCAGCTCCTATGGAAGATCAACTCATATGTGTAGCTGCACCAACCCGATTCAGGAGATGGAAGCAGAGTCAACTGAAGGGGAAGGTCGACATGTTGTAGGGGGGCCCAGCTAAAGAATGATCCAACAAATGGGCAAATATATGGCAAACGGATGATGGTCAGGAAAAGAGGATGGCAACAAAATAGATATGACAATGGGGAAAAATCATTGGGACGAGAGAAGGCACAAAATAACCATTTTGAAGTTCTACCGGAGGAAGAGCCAAAAGAGAAAGCAAGCATGGAGCAAGGTGAGGAAGTAGAAAAGCCCATAGAAAGCCATGCACGTGAAAATAAAGTTCAAAAAGATGGGAAGGTGAAGGAGGCGACGAAAGTGATAGCAGAGGATACGAGAGGGAAGGGAAACAGGGGATCAATGGAGAGGAACAACAAGTGGTAGGTGGAACAAATAAGAAGGTGGCCGGAAATGCAAATCTCCCCAAAACCCACGATCCTAGCGCTCACTTGAGTGCATCGATGCACAAACGTCAAGGGGGAGTGACAAGCTCTCAAGCTGAGCATGAGAAACAAAAAGGAGGGAGTTGAAAGGAGGCACGTATGGTCACAAGCAGGGAAACCAAAAGTTGAAAGGGAAGTCAGGAGCTGAAGGTGCGGGGAACCGATCCCCTTCAGGTAATAGATGAGAATCATCAGTTACAACTGCCGCGGTTTGGGGAAGACGCGCGCAGTTAGAGCCTTACAATCGTTTCTTCAGCGATTCTCTCCCCAGTTGGTTTTCTTGACGGAAACCAAGCAACGGAAGAAGAAAATGAAAAAATCAGAATTGAGCTAGGGTATGAGGAAGGCGAGAGTTTCTCAATGGATAGATCCCGCGGGGGTCGAGCTGGGGATGTCAGTTTGTGGGAAGGACTGAATGTGACCGCGATGCCTCTCTCCCAAAATCACATTGATGCCAAGATAACGTCAGAAACAGGAGAACAATGGAGGTTCTCAGGGATTTATGGCTTGCCGGAAGACCAAGATCAATGGCGAACGTGGGATTTACTTGACCGGCTTGCAAACCAATGGTCCGATCCTTGGGTTTGTGGAGGGGATTTTAACCAAGTACTAACAACATTGGAAAAATCTGGGGTCGGGCAGGAGTTGAGAGAGAAATGATAGATTTTCATATGTGCCTTTTGGGAGCTGAATTATTTGATTTGGGGGTACATCGAATATTAGTTCACCTCAGAGAATCGACGATCTGGTGACAGATATATTGAGGAAAGGATTGATAGATTTGTCGCAAATGATGGTTGGAAGGCTATCTTCCCAACTGCCCGGGGGCGTCACCTTGATAAGGAGAGATCTGACCATATACTTATTATATGTGATAAGAATGGGGAGGAGGATGAAGAGCCGAAGTGGGGATGGTCGTTTAAGTTTGACCCTCACTCGGCACGACATGGAGAGTGTCTGAAAGTGATAGAGGAGGCATGGAAGCATGACCCACAGGCGGATACACTAACAAAATTGCTATCTTGCAGGTCAAAACTTGAGCAATGGAGTCGAACAACCTTCCCAAACTTTCGAATCCATAGAGTGCATATCAGGAGAGCTCGGAAGACGCTCGAACGAACCCGACGATCCCCTGTGGTAGAGACACAACTCAAATAGTTGGACAAGGAAGAGGAGGAACTTGATCACAATGAAGAGCTTTACTGGAAGCAACGCTCAAGGGCCGATTGGCTAAAATAAGGAGATTGTAACACTAATTTTTTCCACAAGAAAGCTTCAGCGAGACGAAGGCGGAACACTATCAACCAACTGAAAGATGACAATGGAGCGTGGGTGCGAGGGCAGTAGCAATTGTTTAATTGCTTAACCTCCTACTTTCGTGTTTTGTTTACTGCAAGGGAAGTGCCGAATGAAACTCCGATTTTGGAGTCGATCCCACAGATGATCATGGATGACCAGAATGAAATACTTCTTTGCCTTTTCGACAGAGAGGAAGTTGTTTTGGCATTAAAACAGATGGGGAAGAGGAAAGCTCCGGGTGCTGATGGTATGCCAGCCTTCTTCTTTCGACGTTACTGAAACATAGTGGGAGACGATGTCGTAGCCACTGTACTTGGGATCTTGGAAACAGGAGTTATACCGGAGAATCTGAATCACACTCTTATTGCTCTGATTCCGAAGGTAAAGAATCCTACTTCACCTAAGGGATTCAGACCAATAAGTCTATGTAATGTGCTGTATAAACCGGTAGCAAAGATTCTAGCAAACAAACTAAAGCCGCTCTTGGATCGGGTGATATCGGTGGAGTAAAGCGCTTTTGTCCCTGGGCGATTCATAACAGACAATATCATGGCCGCTTTCGAATGCTTCCACTCCATGAAAAAGAAGAAGACGGTTGGTAAGGGGGTTTTTGCAGCCAAGATTGACTTGATAAAAGCATACGACAGAGTGGAATGGCACTTCCTAGAGGGTGTGATGACAAAAATGGGGTTCTCCCAAGATGGTGTGAGCTGGTGATGATGTGCGTAAAATCAGTAATGTACTCAGTTTTGGTCAACGGAAACTAGTCACCGAGCTTTGCTCCGAGTAGAGGTCTCCACCGGGGTGATCTGCTGTCCCCATATCGTTTTCTGCTCTGTGCGGAGGGTTTATCGGCTTACACAAAGAAGGTTGTTTAGGAGCAGAATTTCCACGGAGTCCAACCTGCCAGGGGTGCTCCGATTAGGGGTGGCTATATGGTCTGGTCCGGTTAAATTGGACCAAATTGATCCGGTCCCAGTCCGGTCTTTTCGGGAATATAAGGACCAAAGATTGGATACAGTCTGGTAGGGGTGTTCAAACGGTTTGGTTACCGTGGTAACCGTTTTAACCGGTACTATTTGGATAATTTGGTTTGGTTAATTTGGATAATTGGTTTGGTTTGGTTAAAGTTTTTAGCTTGTTTGGTTTAGGTGGTTTGGTTTGGTTTGGTTTCAGACACTCCTAACCAGTCAAACCAAATTAACCAGTTAAGTAATTAGTCATATATCTAACATATATTATATACACAAAATACTTTGCATAACCACTCAAGAGTTAACGTTCATCCCTTTTAGACTCATAAAATATAAAGCTCAATATTGTTCATATAGTGTATATTTGTATATGTAAAGTCTAGACCACAACATGTGGACGCCTAATTTAGATAAATTTCATACATTATGATAATGAAAACTTGAAAGGAAGGTCATTTACAGCCTATGATAATTGCTAAGAGACTAAGTCAATTTACACAAACACAACAATTCATTAACCCATATCATTGTCATAATTTTTTGTTAGGTGAATACTTCTATACTAATCGTAAGATAATTGTCTTAGTTGCATGTATTTTTGTTAAGGGTCAACTATATCTACGTGTTGATTGTTATGTTTTATTCATTATATAAATTGCGAATTGTTGCATTAACCGGAAAATTTTCATCGTCATTGATAATGTGATTTTATATTGGTTAATCTGGTTAACCAATTAACCAAACCGATTAAACTTTAATTTGGTTAATTTGGTTGTTGTATTAGTTTGGACGGTTTGGTTATAATATTGTATTCCATGGTTAATGGAATTTAGCCTTATTTGATTTGGTTATAACCATGGTAACCATTTGACCCGGTCCGGTCCCAATTTTATCTTGATTTTAGGTGTTGGGGGTCTCTTATCCGGTCTTTATTTGGTTTTTTACCTCAAATCTAAGCCCGAATATGAGATTGCATTGTATGCTATCCGGTCCCAGTCCGGTCCCGGTCGGGGTTATACGGTCCGGTTTCGGGTAAAACCAAACAGTCCGGGACCAAATAGCCAGCCCTAGCTCCGATTGTCTCACCTTTTTTCACAGATGATGCGGTGTTCTTTGGCCGATCAAATGCGTAGGAGAGCATGACTCTCAATTCAATCCTCAAGGCATACGAGCGGGAGTCGGGTCAGCTTGTGAATTTTCAAAAATCGGAAGTGTCATTTAGTGGAAATGTTTAACCTCATCAGAAGCTTAGGTAGTGGAACTTTGGAGATGGTGGCAGTTGACAAGCATAGCAAATACCTTGGGTGAGAAGAGAAGGTTTGGTGGTAGCAAAGGAGGATGGTGGACTGGGGTTCAGGGATTTGGAAGGCTTTAATACAACTTTGCTCGGAAAGCAGCTTTGGCGCCTATATCAGAGGGAAGACTCTCTCATTGCACGCATCCTCCAAGCAAAATATCACAGGAATCCCAACTTACTCGACGCAAGGGTGGGGCACAGCCCTAGCTTCATATGGAGAAGTCTCCTTAGCTCGCAGGAATTCCTAAATGAAGGCCTAAGATGGAGTATAGGGAATGGGTCAAGTGTTAAGATATGGGGGGACAAATGGCTCCCAATCGAGGATGGCGGATATGTTACGTCGCGACCAATGGGGCTGCCAGTGGACTCTCAGGTTCGGGAGCTTATTAGCCAAGATGAAGAAAGATGGGACGATAATTTGCTAGACAGTTGTTTCCCTAGCGAGGTAGCTGCTTTAATCCGCCAAATTCCTCTTCGAGACTTAGGAGAGAAAGATAGACTGATTTGGGCAAGCAACAAAAAGGATGAGTATACAGTTCGAGATGGGTACCATCAATGGGTTAGAAAGCTCATGTAGGAAGGGGTTCTTCCCAGCGCAGGTGCAACGGAGGTATGGAAGAAGGTTTGGGGCATGAAAATCCCTCCAAAGGTCAAGCACTTTTTATGGCGATTTGTGAGGGACATTCTCCCAACAAGAGACCACATCAGCACAAAAAGCACGAAATGGGGAGACCGATTCCCTTTCTGTGACAACCGAGAGACGCAAATCCATTTCTTTGGTGAATGCGAGCGGGCTTCACGACTGTGGTGGTCTTCCCCAATGGTAAAATGCTTTGATTTACGTGGGGGCAGAGATTGCTACGATTGGCTTGAGAAAGTGATGAAGACGGTTGATGAGGAAAACCTTGAAGCATGGTCTGTTCTTTTTTGGTTTTTATGGAAGGAAAGAAATTCCCAATTGTTTAATGGGAGAAAGATTCCGGAGCAAGAGATTGTAGGGAGGGCGGTTGCTTACCTTGAGGAGTACAAGAGGCAGAAAGCTTGTGAGGAGGTGGATGAAGACGGACAGATTGAGAAGGGATGGAAAAGACCAGCCCCAGATCGAGTAAAAATCAATATTGATGCTGGGTTATTGGTAGGAGGCAGAGCGGGGATGGGTGCGATAGCGAGGGATGCAGAAGGAAAGTGTATTTTTGCAGCGGTGAAGAAGGTCAAGAATGTGCAGGAAGTGAAAATGGCGGAAGCTTTGGCGGCGGAACTTGGGCTGCAGATTGCTCACCACCTGCAACTCGCAAACCCAATCCTTGAAATGGATTGCTTGTTCTTGGTGAACATGATGGATGCAACACAGTCGGTTCAATCTGAAGTAGGGGTTGTTTGCCGGAATATACGTCACTATCTGGAGGAGATGGGTCAAGGATCATGGCAGCATTGTTCGCGATTGGATAACTATGTTGCGCACATAATGGGGCACTCTGAGACTAGGTGGGATGAACGAGTGGTTTTACTTGGCAGACCTCCGATTTTTGTCATTGACCAGCTTGTGAAGGATAATGTAATACCCATTTCTGAGTAATAAGAGTATCAGAAAGGTTTCTATAAAAAAAAATGGATTCACCAGTGGTTCAGAGGAGTTTGTGATGCTTGCTTGAGCTCTTCATTTGCCTTTTCAAAGTGAACAGAATGGCAATTGTTAGGGAAAGATTGAGTACTAACTTCTTTTCAGTGTTTATTCTTTGTTGTGCATTCAAGAACGAGTGATGTTGGGAGGAGTGCATTCCCCTAAAATGAAAGTAGTCAACTTCTTTAGTTCGTGTTAGGGGTGGTCGTTCAGTCGGTTCGGTTTGAGCCGAACTGAACAAGGAAGTATCGGTATTCCGAAATTTGTCTTGAGACAACCGAATTCGAACATAATAGTGTTTCAGTTCGGTTTAGCCAAACCGAAATACTATCCAGTTCGGTTTGGTTTTTTGGTCATAACCGAAAACCTGATTCCTCATTTGAACTTTTACCTGTCGAGGGTTTTTGGTACCAGCCTGCTGCTGGAAATTTGTCACTTGTTGCTGGAAATGATGTAAATAAATATTTTCCCCTGCAATCTCCATTCCAAATATTCTAATACAAATAAAACAAATCCACCTTCCAAATATCCAATACAAATACGAGAAGGTCACCCATTTAGAACCATTCATTACAATACAAATAGTTTTAAATTCAAAGTAACAAAAGAAAGGTAGCCATTGTCTAAATTCCAAGCATAACTTTTACAAACTTTAAGGTCTTGCTTCTTGGCTCTTCACCACTCTTGGTCAATTGACACATTTTAAATTGAAAATAGTACAATAAACATGAAACGATGATGGTTAGTGATTAATATGTATAGAGCTAATTACAGATAGTCAAGTAGAATAAAATCTCAACTTCTTACCTCTAAAGTCATCAATCATGCATAGAAACATCGGAATTATCACCACAAGCACTACCAGATGCACTACCATCGTTCCTCCTTCCACTTGAACTTGGTACATTGGAAGTCGAGGTAGATGAAACAAGATTATCTCTTATGGAGATTGCATTCATCAACTTGTCCAATTCTGCAAGATTAAAAACACCCAAAATTAGTCATGGCATACAAATTAATCATGTTGTAAATATGTAATGCTAGATTTGAGACTTTACCTTCATCTATTTTCTCAACCTCTTCTGGATCCTCCTCGGCTGATGGTGGTGCAGAATCACCACGTATCCAATCCGAGCTACAAATTAAAGCCTCCACTATCTTAGGAGTCAATGAACTTCTGAAATCATCTAGAATCCTCCCACCAGCGCTAAAGGCATATTCGGATGCAACGATAGAGATAGGTACCGCTAGAACATCTTTAGCCATCAATGAAAGTGCTGGAAACCTCAAGCTGTTAACTATCCACCAACCTAGAACATCAAACTTGAGCACCATTGGCTCGTCTTCCTCACGAAGGTATTTCTCAAGCTCAGATTTGTTCACCGCCCCTACAATTTGCTCTCTATGTTTTTTGTATTCAACAAGTACATCAATCTCATCAACATCACACTCCTCCACAATTGGAGCCAAAGAAGTAGAGGCATTCTTAGATTGCTTTGATTTCCAAGTCCTTTCGAAAATGACCGTCATACATGTCAAACATCTTAAACACCTTTTCAAACCTCTCAGCAGCCTGCAACATCAAGAATGTCGATTCCATCTAGTAGGAACATTAAGACACAAGCCACGTTTGCCTTCTACTTTTTGAACTTTGGCAAACTCATTAAATTTTTTCAACCTTTCTGGTGAGTTTCTAATAAACCTCACAGCTTCTCTAATTCTCTTCACCGATAGGGAAATATCTTCAAGTCCATCAGACACAACCGAATTTAAAATGTGAGCCACACATCTCATGTGAAGGAATGAACTATCACAAATACTAGTCCCTCTAGTATTAAAAACTTCCTTCAATTTGGCTACAGCTGTGTCATTAGAGCTAGCATTATCAACAGTTATTGTGAAGACCTTGTCAATCCCCCAATCATCCAAACATGCAACAATGCCATCAGCAATGTCTACACCTTTATGACCTTTAAGTTCCCCAAAATTGACGATCTTCTTTCTCTATTTCCAATCTTGGTCAATAAAGTGGGCAGTTAAGCACATAAAACTATCTTGCTTATTCGAAATCCATGCATCAGTAGTCAAACAAATTCTTCCTTCACAACTTTGAAAAAACCTTTTCAACTTGTCTTTCATCTCAGTATAGAAGGCAAAACAGTCCCTAGTGATTGTTCTTCTATAAGGAATATTGAACATAGGGCAGCATAGCAACATGAAGTACTTAAACCCCATCCTAGGGGTGGTAAACGGTAATCCGGTAAACCGTTTACCGGCGGTATCGGCAGCCGAGCGGGAAGTTGGGGGATTCGGTTTACTGGACACGGTATCGGTAAATACCGACGATAAATCGGTATTACCGATACCGAATCCCCCTCCCTACTCCCTAGTGCTGCGCTGCGTTTTGTTGCTTTACCCTTCATTATTCACAAATATAAAATATTACATACATGAATGTAAGTAAGTATAGGCCTCAAAAATATTGTAAATAAGATTTAATAATAAATTATTAATTACAAAAATGATGAAAAAAACTCAAAAAAATCAAAATATTACAACATCACCCCACTTCCAGAAATTCGGTTCGGTAAATATTCGGTAAACCGACCGAAAAACCGGCCGAAGTCGCTTCTCACGGTATTTCGGTAATACCGGTTTGTAACCGTTTACCGGTAATTCGGTAATCGGTAAACCGGTTACAAACCGGTATCGGTAATCAGTAACCAGTTTGGCCAGTTTCGGTATACCGAAATCGGTAAATTCGGTAAACAATTTACCAACCGAATCCCACCCCTACCCCATCCCATCAACAAACTTGAACGGTTTTTCATCAACAATGAGCATGTATGCTAAACCCTTTCTAGTAGTTTCTTGATCAAACCTCCAGTTTGTTAAAGTACCCTTACCTTCTACCCCAGTTTTTCCTAAGTTCAATAGTTGTTGAGTAGTACCTTTTTTGTCATCACTACCCTTTCGCATATAAACATTCATAGCATTGGTGCCATTAAGAAATGGATCTACCTCGTACTCCTTCACACACTTCATACACCTTGACATCTTGTATCCGTCCGGGGCATTGAACTTTGTAAATTGAGTCCAACACACAGCTCGTGACTTCATCTCCTTCCTTTTTGTTTTTAATGTTTTTTTGGTAGTACTAGTAGAGCGGGCAGCAGGGGCAGCAGCCTCCTCCACAGAAACTTCACTGCCACCGGCCGATGAATCCCCTTCCTACACCAACAATAAACAAAGTAAATTTCCATCACCAATACATCATCAATAAACATAAGCAACAATAACATTAAGGAAAATACAAAAGGCAGAATGATAGAGAGCTTTATCATTTATTTCCAACTAATCGAACACGTTTGAAGAGAGGAACGAGAAGCAGCAGTACATCATGGTGCTACTGCTATGCGACATGCTAAGAGTTAGAGAGCATTATCATTTATTTCATTTCCAACTAGTCTACATGATCAGCTACACTAATTATTTTCTACAACTTTCCATACAGAATTACATATATACAAATACAAGCAAAATAGTTCCAGACTTACAACCACAACCAGTTCAACAAATTCAACAAATCTGCCTCTCATAAACTCAACCAAATATGCCTATCAATCCAATGCAATCTCATCGATTGAACAAGAATTAGAACATACCAACACATGGACGTCCTCATTTGAAATTGGTTGACTGTCGGTGTTGGTGGAGCTGCCGGCATTTCTCTGTCTGCTAGCTTTCCGATTGGTGGTCATGTCGACTGGTGAAGGTATGCTTTGGTTGGAGTACTTCGGAGTTGGAATCCTTCCTCTTGTCTTGCTATGGCTGCCGCCGACTAGAATGGAGCACTGGGCAGTGCGGAGCTGCGAACGCGAGTACGAGCGGTGAGATGCGGTTGCAAGACGCGAGTGGTGGCGGCCGACGGGAGAGTCGGTGGGACTGGGTGGGAGGCGAGGCGGCGGCAAGTGTGGTGGGAGAGAGATGGATGGAGGAGGTGGGTTGACGCAACCCGCAAGTCAGGCCGTCCCCGTCGCCCGTGGAGAAACAACGAATCGCGGTGGCCGCCGGCCGGTGTGTCTCTGCCTCTCTGGACTGTGGAAGAGATCAGGAGCGGGGTTACAAGCGGGCAGCGGCACTGAAGACTGTGTCTCTGGTGCTGTTTCGATTAGGGTTAGGGACTTAGGGTTGCTGCTGCTCAGCTGCTGGGACCTGGGTGTTGGGTCAGGTAAGTGGAAATGGAATGGATCAATTGGGCTGGGTGGGTTGGGACTTGGGTCTGGGGTCTGGGCAGATCACATAGGTTGAAGATTCGGAAAATCGATTGTTCGGTTCGGTTCACAAGAAGCTGTCTCCCGAAATATGCTCTATTTTCGTCCGAATTCCAAACCTAATAAGGTTAAATTCGGTTTCGGTCGGTTTTTGTTCGGTTCGGTAAATCCCAACCGCATGCCCACCCCTAGTTCGTGTATGTTATTATAGCTATTAATAGTGGTGATGGTACTCTAATTTGTTTATGTTATGTCGATAATTATGATATAATAGTTATTGTCATCTATTCAGTATTTATAGTAATTATGTACTCTTTTCAATTCAACCTTTTTTTTTTCATGCACGAAGCGTAGTGAGTGGGTCATTGCTAGTTTTAAATTAAAAGAATAACACGAGAAACTAAATTATAAAATGGTTACAGAAAACACATTCGTCAAGTATGAACTTTCTTTTCTCTACTGGCAATTACAACATAATGAATCCATATAGTCCCCAATTGTCATCACAAGGACGGGAAACGGAAATACTATGATCTCCATAGTCGAATACACACAAATCTTGCGGCGCATCCCCAGTGTAATAAATGGAATTTCTCTTTAAGCCCGATTTACTAGCACAACACTGTCGACAACCCCAGTTGCTGAGGAAAAATGCTCGATCGCCCAAATCATTGACCAATC